GTTAGGGCTACGGTATTAGTCAATACTCGTCACCCAAGACGGTACTAGATCAAATTTAATCCATCTAACTGGCGGCTTAAAATGTAGCGATCGAAGACCGCTTCGGTTGCCTAGTGATCAACAGTGATAACGCTAAAATGTTTCGATGATGATGAAAAATATTTAGTTAAAGGTAATAACGATATCATAATTGTCATCAGCCTTTTTCGAATGAAAGCCTCACGAAGAATTTGTCATAAACTTCTGTTTTCAGCGATCCGCCACCGTCTAGATCCGAATAACTTGTTCAATTCATTAAGTCATCGATCTGGAGGTCTACGGGTTGTTTACTCTCTCTTGGAACCAGGTCGAATGTCTTCCTAGTCAAAACAAGGTCGATGCTTCTGGCTCAGCCACTGCCACCTGAAGTTCTTCACTCGGACAATGATATCGCAGACTTTCTTGTGCTCCCATCCATTCGTTCGTCTTCATACTTTTTGTTATTCCTAACATACATCTTACCGTACTGCGCTGGACAGTAATAAAATTCCGTGTAGCTGTAGTTAATCTTAAATGTCATACCTCCCAAAGGTAACTATGGAACTATACAGCTATAGGTTGAGCAATCCAAGCAAAATCTGTTCTTGAAGGAACCATTCGTTATTAAATTATTAAATATTCTTAGACATATTAAGAGTACTACGGTAAGGTTCAAACGAAAGAAGAGTGAGTGATATGCTGCAGTCGTAACAATCCCTCTATTTGTTGAAGACTGTTCATCAAACTAATAATAGAATTCATGTATTATTTGTATGAGGTAGGTCTTTAAAAAAGGAAGATTTCTGGTGATTAACGACACGTTTGAAATTAAACTTCAAAAACCTTTATCACATTTACACATTTTAAACATTTTTCTTGTATGTGCACTTCTGGTTCAGTGTCGCAGTTTTAGAGCAGATGTTCGACGCTCAACTACACAACTATGGATACAATTCTATCCTCAGTTTTGCTTCGAGATGACAAACAACAGAATACGAAGTACCTCGGCTTTGGCCGGTGGTTTTTTCACGCAAAACGTTCAGCTGGTAGACGGGACCAAACTGTTTAAACAGATTCAACAAGTCGTTTTCGTCCCAATTGCGAGGTACTTGGCCAACGAACATTTTTATGGTATCAGGGTCTGGTTCCATCGTCGACTCGACCTCGCTGGTGATGGCGGTTGCGGGGGCGTCAGGCATCGTCGGCGTCGAGTTTGTGTTTGAAGTGGCGGTCGACCCAATGGCGTCGTACGCAGACGTAGGCATCGCAGAACAATTTCGATCGCCATTCGTTGTTGCAGGGTCTACGCTTTCGCCCGCAGCGTTGCTATCTACAACCTGGCCAACTGCAGCCATATTCGAGCTGTCGACAGGTGCGATCAGAATATTGTTAGAGTGGTTGGTCGCCATAAATTGCCGATTCAGGTCGATAGATCATGCAAGAACCTCTAAACGACACAGTAGTAAATGCAATAAAAAACAGACCAACAGATACACAACTACGCTATATCACAGTATGCATGCTATAAAATGTGTGCATATCGTACTGCAGCATGTGTTGTAACACGGTGCATGCACAGGTTCTATAAATGACACAGCATGTTAAGCGTAATTCACATATACGCAGAGAGATGCGTGCAATTTAAACTATATATAACTATATACTATAAAGTATTTACAAAGACAATAAAATATAAAATACACAGATAGTAAAGTAAATCTAATGTATCAGTATACCATGCTACAATGAACGAAATGTATATGCGGTATTAAAATGCATAACGCCACGTTTATCAGCTAAATTTAACGTCTCAACACTCACAGCATAACACATATACGGGCCTTTGAACAGCATGCTATAGGTAGATACCATAAAACACGGAGGATACAAAGATAGCTCACTCCTAACT